CTCCATGGGAAAATTCCTTGACTACGAGTCATAAACAAACTAGTCTTTTACTAGGCTCCTTTGTAGACCGTCACAGTATCGGCCTAACCCTAGACCTTCCTATATCTTTTAATTACTCTTCCTAGTTTGGCCGCGGCCCCCAAGAAATATATAGTAATAAAAAAGAAGCTAACCGGTTCGGCACCTATACCATCTTTATGGCCAACCTATTCACTTTATATAAGTCTCTTTAAAAAAAATAGTAACCGGATAAATGTGATAGGTAAAGCTCTTTTCGACAGATCCTAAATATAAGAGTGTGTTATAACTTATAAGTTATAGCGCCGAATCCTTTTGATTTTAAAACGAGAAACTACCCTATTCAGGTATTTAATAAGGTTAAACACCTATTTAACTTAAAACCCGTAAACCAGGCTTTTTTGCATATTAACGCCCACACGTACGGTTTGGAGACTGCAAGCTGCGGACCGGGTCCGAGGCCGAAGTATCAGTTGCGCACGGGGCCGTTTGAATTCAAGGCGTCGTTTAGGGTATAGCTCTCAAGATGGACAAGGATGTTGAGGTAAAGGAGGAATAATATCAGTTCAAAGTTGTGTAACGAGACAGTGGTCCGGATCTAGAGACAGCCTGTGGCGAGTATGAAATAAGCTCCCCCGGGGCTAGCTTTATATTGTCAACGCTCCCGCCTCAACCAGCCACTGTTCTCGCAACAAACTACATTGGACCGCCATGTTGACTCTGGCCGTGTTGTGGCGGAAGAGTTACTGTGCTACTGTCAAGGATGCAACCGGCCAATTTATGATGATTATTAAACTTGAACTATCTAGTTCTGTTTACCCTCCTTATCGTCAGGTGCATGCGTTGCAAGCCGCTTCCAAGGAACAAAGAAGGTAGCGATCAGGGCAATGCCGCAAAAGGCAATGGAAAGGGCAAACGTCGCCTTCAGACCGTGCATGTAAGCTACCAGCACACCAGGCAGGTCCTCCGGAGAAAAGATGTTGCGCAAGTCTGAAGCGCCCGCGTTAACGACTTTCTGTCCGGGAACGCCGGGCGCAGATGAAGCGAGCTTTGCCAGTATCTGGTTCACAAAGGCCGCCTGGCCGGAAGAAACGGTGAATGCACCTCCGACTGTCTGAAAGACTGTACCACGTGTTAGTTTTTGGCGTGCCCTGTATGAACGGCGGCGCGAAGCATGTACTTACAGTAAAGGCAAGCCGTCATGGCTGGCAGATCCTCTGGGTCGACGCTGGCCTGCGCAATGTTTAGGCCGTTCTGAACCGAAAATGCTATAGCAGATCCGGTGAGAATCTGGTAGCCTATCCATTTTGCACTCGGCGTGTCAATTTCGAGCGTGTAAAGGAGGCCGCAGCCAACGGTCCCGAGCAACGCGCCAACAAACATGGCCGGTGTCGGGAGGCCTGTTGAGGTCACAAAGACGCCACCCAGGACAGCGAAGATGGCAACTGCGATGACAATGGGCAGATTATCGACGCCAGATTGAATGGGGCTGGCACCCTTGACAGACTGAAAGTAGATGGGAAGGTAGTACAGGAGGAGGAGCAGATCGCCGAGGAAGAAGAACTGGTAGGGGCAGATGCTCCAGAGCCCGCGCTTCTTGAAGAGCCGCGGAATCATCATGGCATACTCGCCCAGCCACATGGACCAGAGAATCAGGGCAATCGTGAGCACTCCAAAGCCGACCAAAAGACCAATCACCTGGCTGCTGTGCCAAGGATATTCGACTCCGCCATACTGCAAGCCCAACACGAAGCATATAATGGCCGCCATGGTGAGACACACCCCGACGGGATCCAGGTGAAGCAGCTTCTGGCCAAGACTGATGGGCGGCGGCTTGACCGCGGCCGGGAGGTGAAAGAAGATGACGACGACGGCCGCGCCGAGCGCCCCGACGGGAAGGTTGATGTAGAAGCACCATCGCCAGGTGACATTTTCCGTGAAGGCGCCGCCAATCAACGGCCCAAGCACGGAGCTCAGACCGTACGTCAGCCCGATGATCCCCATGAGAATCGGTCGCGTCTTGGGCGGGACGCTAAAGGCGACGATGCTTGTTCCGCCGACGGAGATGCCAGCAGCGCCGACTCCAGCAATGGCACGCCCGATGATCAGGGCGACAGACGACGGCGCGACGCCGCAGATGAGGCTGCCAATCTCGAAGATTGCGAGCGATGCAACGAAAGTCCATTTTATGTCAAAGTATTTGAAGGCCTTGCCCCACGACGCCTCGAGGCCGCCAAAGGTCATGAAATAGGCCGCGGAGTACCAGGATATGTCTTTGAGACCATCAAACTCGGCGGTGATTTTCGGGATCGCGGTACCGACAATTGTCTAAAAAAAAAACACACGATTAGTTTTGTTCAGGGAGAGACTTTGTAGTAAAGAAAACTGCCTACCTGGTCCAGCGAGATGAGGAACACGCCCATGATGGACGCGCCGGCCAAAAGGATGAGTCGAATGCCGTGGGGGTACCCATCGACACCGTCAGCGCCCGTGTCCACGGAGGACTGAATGTCGGTGATGTCCTGGGGTGACGTCTTCTCCGCGAGGCTTTGCGACGAGGGCGATGATTTGGTCGTCTCGAAGTGCGGCCGTAGGCTGGCCTCGGCCGCCGCCGTGCTCTCGGTGTGCTGCGGTACGACCATGTTCTCGGAATGCGCTTGGATTTTATTGAATCGATGGCGACAGTAACGAAAAGCAGCGATGGTTGGATTAAAGTAATACCTGACACATGGGAGTATTGTATCCTCTCTAGAGTTTTCCTTGTTAGGGTTTATCGCAAAGTCGCCGCAGACGAACAGGCCACGCACGAACTCGAGCTGATTAAACCCTGGAGGCAGCAAACCTGAAATGGCCTTACAAATCCAATACACGTGCGAAAGGGGCCTTGAGGTACTAGTAGTTACGGCCAGAGCAACATGACCCGGCTGTTAATTGCACCGGAAGGCTGACAAATCCGCCGAGATGGGAGAGCCACTTTGGATCGTTTGCGTTGTCCGATAATCTCGGTTGGATTCGCTGGGGTTACGGGCAGCTATTGATTAACCGGCTAAACAGAGGTATAGAGAAGCATCGATCGGCATGTCTGTGGCGTTGGGAGCTAGCTTCTCTGTTATTAGCGTGTTCACGGAGTTCCGTGTAGTATTAGATTCATCCAACAAGACACCCGGCCAATTAAATTTAGACCGATTTACTCGACGTCGTTAGTAAGGACCCTTCTATTATCTGCGTCTTGTGCAGCCCTCTATTATCTGCGTCTTGTGCAGCCCTGTGCAACCCTGTACAGGCCCCAGACCCTCCTTGTTTACAGGTACGTACGTGCGCCGATCTAGCCTGACGTGCCCCCGTCGCCCTCTTGCGTGATAACGAATTGATCCGCTATTGTAAACCCGGCCATTGTGAAATCCGCCATGCACCGTCACTGCGTGCCAGCTCACCTCAGCCTCGCCTCGATGGTGCTCTGGGTCGGGTTGTCTGGGTGCCGCCAGACTCGCTCGAGCTCGAGACCGGCCCCTGCCAGCAGCGTCGCGAACTGCTGTTCTGTCCGCTCGAGCCCGCCCTCCATAAACATGTTGAGGTCCATGAAAAAGGGCATCGGATCCGAGCCAGCGGCGGCGGTGCCAGGCAGGATCATCTCCCCGAGCAGGAGGCGCGAGGTAGGGCCCATGGCCTCGGCCAGCTGGCGCAGGATGATGAGGCTCCTCTCGTCGTAGTGGTTGTGCAAGACATTGCGCAAAAAGTAAACATGTGCGTCTGTGTGAATGTTAGCGTTGTTCTTTTTTTCCTCTTTGTCACTGCGAGGCCAACTTACTCTTCACGGGCTGCGGATCGTAAAAGTTGTGCGGCATGTTCTCGACGCCATCAACTGCAACCGGATCCTTGCCGTTGAGAACCTCGTCCATGTCCTGGAGGACCATCTTTGCGCCGTAGCTGCCACCGCACTCGTTCATAATCGCAACGAGCGCATTCCCTCGCCCCCCGCCGACGTCGACGACAAAGGGCCGGTGCGGCTCCGCCTCGACCGCCTCCCGCAGCGACGCAAAGGCAAACATGCCGGAGACGGGCTGCGTCGCCTCAATCATGACTATGCCCTTGTGCCAGGCGTCGGACACGGCTGGGTCCTCCTCCAGGGCCTCGTAGTACGTCATGCCCTCCTTTCCCATGGCCCAGCTGAAGGGCACCTTCGTCGCGTCCTTGGCGTCCTCCGCCGAGTGCGTCTTGAGATACTCGGTGACCTTCCACCACTGCGGGAACTGCATCGTGCTGCGAGGATGGTCAGTATCAGGGAGTGAGAGTGAGAGTGACCGTCGTGGCGGGCCGGGCACACCTACCCCAGCCGAAAGAAACTGGCGGCGTGGTCCGTTCGAAACATGCTCGATGCTTCCGTGTGCGCGTAGACGCCTGGCGCATGTTCCTTGAATATCCCCTGCGTGAGGACGAGCCGGAGGAACCGACCTAGCTTGCTGTCAGCTATGCATCACTGGTGAATTCCGTGTATTTCTTTTTATTTTTATTTTTATTTCTTTACCTAGAATCTCGGCATCCAAGTTGACTGCTGCTGAGAGATCGTCTAAAGATCTGGAGCCTGTCTGCGGCACAGCGTCAAACACCCCAAAATCGCACAGTACATTCATGGCGGGTAGGATTTGAAACTTGTCTTGTCAGAATCCGAAACGGACATGGTATCTGTAACTTTGAATTTCCATTTTGCCTGGGCTTACGGGATAAGCATGAAACATGAGAGCGTCGGGGCCCTTGTGAACAAGACAGCGGAGTCTTTCGAGTTGGCGCACGGCATTTGCCTGATTCGTAACTGAGCCCGTGTGGCTCTTCAAATCGCGAACAAGCTGCTCCGCCGCCTCGATGGCTTCTGGGGATACAACGGAAGTGTTCATTGTCCAGGGGAGGGGGGGATTCACTAAATCGCTTAGCGGCTTCGCAAGGTGTACCGCAATCGGGAAAGACAATGCGTAACGTTGCTTGCGTTATTTCTTATAAAGCTACAGAGTTTCGGCGTCAGCTTCTTTATTGGCTCGTACTAAGTCGCCGTGCGTGGCGCGCCGAACGTCTGGAGCTTGTCGGCATCGGTGGTGTCGGGCATTTGCGCTGTCCGCTCCACCACCGATGGTTGTGTGTGTGTGTGTGTATGTGTGTGTGGCCAGAGTGAGATTGTTAGCACTTGGAAAGCAGGAGGGTATGTGCTACACGGAACCCCGACGACGCGTGAGTGACGGACGGGGTTGATTCATATTGCTATGCTCGTCTATGCTATACTACTCTATGCCCTATATAAACTCTGATGAAGCTGCTTCAACTGTTGCTCTACTTCTGTTTTTAGCCCGGTAATGGCATCAAAAGAGACCGACTGCCTGGATTCTTGCTCGCGCAGCATCAGGATGCGCGACACTCTGCTGTGGTTTCTCAACAAGGTTTCCACAGCCTGGTTCTGTCGGTTGAAAATGTATGAGCACAGCTGTATGACCGACACGAGCTGGAAGTGAGCTCTCGAGGACGCCTCCAGGCGCTCGTCGTGCTCGTCTGAAGTTACATGTCCCTGCGAGGACGTGTTGATCATGTCTAAACATCGCTGTAGGGCACCAAATGCCACGCTGTACATGTTTAACAGCAGTGACGCGCAAGAAATGACAAGCTGGCAGACTATTGAATGGTTCTGGCTGGTTTCATGCGGAACTTGCGGAGACAAGGCGGCCGTCGCCTCGCCGTCCATGCTGATGGAAGAAGTAGCAAAGGCGGTGCCGGGGTAAGCTGCTGGGGTGCGAGCCCCGGAAGTGAGATTCAACTGGCGTAGAATGTCCCGGAGTTGATCCGAAGCCGACAGGACGTGGTGCAGAAACTCGTGAGACCGTGCCGATGCCGGAGCCCATTTGGTGGCTGGATCGGCCTTGCGCTGACCGCGCGCGACCCAAGAGTGTACCGACTTGAAGACGGCCTTGATGACCTGATAGACCTGCGCAGGCGGGTCCTGGTCTTCCCGTGGAAGCAGCATCTCGGGAACCTCGAGCAGAAACGTCTTGGAAAAGAACAACAGCTGTGAAGAGTTCGCGCTGAGCTGCGAGAGTCGCGTCATATTCTGTCTGAGAGTCTCTGCGTAGCTGCTGATGCCGCAGGAGCCACTGACGCTGCTTTGACCACTCGGCAAGCTTGACGCGCTGGTGCCACTGCGGATGTCCAAACTTATGCCAAGTCCCTGTTGCTGTTTGTCGACAAGGCTGGCGATGCTGCTGGATCCTAGAGAGTCCGTTTCTGGCATCCCGACCAGATATTCGTCAAACCTGTGGCTGGATAGAGGCCTGGTAAGGAGAGCCGGAAGAATAGGGACGGTGGTTTCGGCCAAGTCCAGCGACATGCTGTCGTGGAGATGCTCGTCCTGCCCCCAGCCGGGGCCGGAACCGGCAACCCCGTCCTGTTGGTAGGGAAACGGAGGGAAGACCTGGTCGTGCATGCCCATGTCGGCACTGGCGTCAAACTCGTAATGGGCATTATTCTCGTCGTCGGCAACGGTAGGAGAGCAATAGACAATCTCCTCCATTGGGCCTTCGAGAGAGTCGGTCCGGCTGCACATGTCTGGCGAGGAAGCAGTCGACGAGGTGGCGGCGCGCGGTTTTTGGGAGGCCGTTTGCTCCGGGCTCTTGGCCGTCTCTGTCGCGCGGTAGAGCGACGGACGGCCCTTGGGCAGGCATGAGCTGTAGACACATTTGGCGCCCTTTCGCAGGCACCGGTCGCAGTCTCCCGTCTTGCGGCTCTCGGAGCGCGTGCACCGGACCTTTTGGCTGTGGCACCGATCGCATGAGAGGCGCTTCGGTCTCTGCGCGGCGTCACTTGTCGTGACGGCCGATGCGTTTACCATCTTTGCTTCGTTCCAAGTTGCATGGCCAGGCATGCATACGCCATGTACACTGGGTGCAGGATGTGTTGCGTGGACAGGCTCTCAGCAGTGAGTAAAGGTTACACCGGACATGCATTTCAGCGTCTCTTTATGTACCAAGCAAGGCGACCAACGTCTGACATCAAGGCATCCCTGGGCGATATTTCGCATGGCCTGCCGCATTGCGACATCTGAACCAGCCCTTGTTTTCAAGCAGCTCCTTCGGGAATAGGCTGCGAACCATTAAGGTGTTACTGTTCGGGGTAAGATTGCTCGCAATCTTACAAATTACTAGGCAATACGAAACCTTCATGATCCAATACCTTTGCTGTCCGGACCACACACGTGGCGAGGCACTAGCGCGATGCTTAGCTTTTGGTGACGCTCCCCGCAAAAATGGATATACCATGGAAGTTTGTGTAACTCGAGTTGAACTTGTCAATCAAGAGGCTTTACCAAGAGTGAATTGGCCCGAGTTGGCAGTTTTGAGCCGAATATGCATGTGTTGTTGCTGCCTGCTATTGCTGTGCTTGGTGTAACTAGTTGCTCTGGCAGCTGGATTCAAAAGATACTTTTATTTAGTATGTGTATGCCATTAAAAATAGGGCAGCGCTCCAGCGACACCCCCTAGTGTTGTAGCGACACCCCTTTCGTTCTGTGGCCGCGGTAGATGACTAAAACCGCTTATATCATCGCCTTGCTTGACCAGATCGATCATGCAACCGCATTGATTTATGACGATAAATCGTGCAATTCCGCTCATTTATGACGACCATGAAGCCCCTGAAATTGCATAAATATCGGCTTCTTTATCGTGTAGTTAGAAAGAATCAAGACCTTCATTCATTTGAATATGATCATATAACTCAGTTGAATAATCACTTCTTCGGTAGACCCACATTTCTGCCACAGTTATGATCAGTTATGTAGTTATGGAGGGACCGGCCTATCAGAGAGGAGCCCCCGGATCCCCCCCCAGGTCTCCATAGTGAAGCCTCCCGGCGCTAGACCAACTCTGGGGGGATCCGGAGTGGGGTAACAGGACCTCCCCTAAAGTTAATCCTTGGTAATTGGTTTTTCTTTTTTTTTGTCGTACTAGGTAAGGTCGCGTCGCGTTCCGTTACGTTCCGTCCGTCGCGCCACGTCACGTCTAGTATAATGATATATCTATTCTTCTATCTATTCCTGATAGAATGAATGATACTTAGTCTCTCTCTCTATACTATAATCTTACTCCTGGTAGGCATCATTTTCTCTCCATCAAGATCTACATAATATTAGGAAAGTAAATCCCGTTATACATTCAGATGGAACTGACTTTCCAATATCTCTAGTACAACAGTTAATATTAATGTATTATCTGTTATGACTGCTAGTGTACCTTCCTAAATCGTTTAATATTGCGGCATTTATGTACTTGCTATCAGATTGAAAGCCGTACCGCGATAGAGTACTAATTATAATGTATTCCAGAGAACGCGTACTCTCGTAAAAATTATACTGATTTTTTTCCGTTAATTGATAGTACTGACGCTATTCCTAGCCTATCAATCTATAATTTACTGCAGTATAATTACTGTAACTTCCTTACTGCCTCAAAGAAATGGCTCTAGCGATATTACCGGATCGAGCATACTGTCGGGAGCTTTCGCCCACTGGCCTAGATCCCTGTTCAGGGGTAAAGTTGGTTTACCTATGTCCGCTATTGTCGGTACTGGGTGACTGCGCCCACGCGTTTTCAGAGATTCATAAGTTTCCAGTTCTCGATTGTATTATCTAATCCTGATAGAAAACTAACACTTCCGTCCTCTGCCTCTGTACAGTTATCCCCTAATGGACTGTACTTACCGACTTTACCCCTATTATCCCTGACGCCAGCGGAAAATGATACCGATATAAATTCCTGCCAGCCTAAGATGCCCCCCCCTATTCGATCAATCAAATCTGAATCAGGGAAAATTCCGCGTACGGGGATGATCCCCCCTAGAAAGGAAGCGATAACTCTATGGTTAGCCTAGACCGGATGGCTTCGATATCTGGAGAGACGGCCCTTTCAAACGCTTGTTAAGCTCTGGGACCATTCTAATACCCTTTAGCAAGATCCTACGATTGCGAGTGTCTGGTAGACTGAGAAAAGCAGCTATTATATTACCATTCTTTATATGATTAGGGCCTCGTTTGACCGCATTATGGCCCGGGCGTTGGACACACTGGATATCACCCACGAGCCGATCCGCTAGATCTTCTATAGTACTATTGCCGGTAAGCTATATAAGCGAGCGTTAGACCGGCTACAGTCAGCTACCAAAAAAAGATACATCAAAATATAGAAACACTTTTTATATTAGTCCTTCCGGGCCGCCTCGTTTCCAGGTAACAGACAGTTCCAAGATCTCAGGATTCCGCTGGATTTATGCCAAAAGGAGTACTTCTATCGGATTTGGATAACGTTAGAACGTTTTCTCTGCCAGCCGGACGCTATTAAATTTACGCAAGCAGTATTGCTACCAGTAATTACTACGGTATCTTTTAAGCCGCTAATAATATCTTATAGCCTATCAGCTCAGCTAAGAAAACGATCGCTATCAGTATTCTCTTGCGATCTAGTTGATGCCGAGGAGAGGCCTATTATAAAAAGACAGGTAACCTAATATTAGACTATAATTGCAATCTGTATCCTTGTCTACTGCCGGCCAAACGTAGCGAATCATTTAGTAGAGCTTTTCCCGGACTCTTACATTCTACTGTTATTTCCGTAAAATCAAAGTGCCTTACAGGGCCGTCAGCAGCACAGGGTTAAAATAAATAACCAGTTTCTAGTAACTGACCATAAGGAAAGTCCCGAGGAAGCTTTCCTCAGGTATTCCGCTAGCGAGATCAACAGTGTATCTAATAATAATAAACAGAATATAAAACAAGATGAGAATGAAGAAGAGAAGTACCTCCTACCTCCAACAGTAGAATCTGTTCAGTGTTTCCCTTATACCGATGATACAGGACGGCTGGCTCTACCGGCCCTCCTACCTGCGGAACAGAGATAGCTCGACAAAAGTTTATTCAATTTCTACCTGAGCTGTTTTACGATGACTAGTATCCAATATACTGGCGATAAATTTGCAGTTAATCTAATGGCGTTTACAGCCGTACTTAATATCCAGGTTTCTATCTTTACCTTTTAGGAGCTATACTCGTATTTTTTCTCGTTTTCCGCCTTGATCTGGGTCAGCTGAGTCCTACTACTCGAATATATTTTTCCTTTCCGGCAGTATCACTATCTGCAAAACATTCGGCCCCGGCATAAGGTCCGGAATCAGTACTAACAGGCCCAGGCAATTTAAGCCCGATATGCCGTCCGTAGGAGTCTTTATTCCTTTTACGCCATTCTCGAGCTACTCGATCGGGCCTGTTGGCACATCCGTTATACCGCTCGTCCGGAGAATATACTGTGGTCGCCAGATTACCAGACTCTATTCTACCGCGGGTCTCCCCGGGAGATTTATCTTAACGATATCTGTAGGTGGATTGAGGCCCTCCTCCAGTCAGTAACCCAAACGTTTAAATACAGACTTTTTTTCGGCGTTTATCTTTCTATCAATCTTATTACGCTAGTCGATAATCTAAGTAAGTATCGGGCCAGTTTCTGCTTTCTTGATATACCGGCGAACCAGTTTCAGCCTACCTATGCGCCGTTGCTCGCAGTCCAGACGACGCTACCAGCGGGCATGGTCCCTTTCCGCCAGAATAATCGGTAGAATCCGCGCGCTATTATAGCGTATCGGATCCAGGCTCAGTGGTTTCTCGACCATCTTACTCTCCTGATCTAACTGACGTAGGACCAGCTGAGCCAGGAGCCCGAACTACTGCAGCTAAAGTAGTAGAATACTTCGACAATACCGCGGAACCTGTACTTACATTAGGGCAACGTGCTTTTCATTATCAAGTATTATAAGTTGCAGGTGCGCATTCAGATTACGCAGCATATAGCCCGTTTTCTGTATCCCTCAGTTAGCTAGCTGATAGTACTGTATCTGTTGCGCGTTCGCCCCTTTCTTATACTGTTTTACCAGCAGTTACGGAAGAACGGACAGCCGCGCTTATACTACTGTTAAGTCCAGTCTAGCGCGATAGATAATTATCTTTTCGTTTTACCTGGGGCAATGCCCCCCCGTTCTCAGGCCGGTAGGATTACCGCCCTTATACGAGAGACCGTCCAGCCTTTCCTTTATAGACAGGATATTATTACCTGTAGTTACTGATATATCGCCATTGCTATTGCTAAAAAGTACCTCGTTTCGCAGGTAACGCCAGCTGATTGGAGAATTGCTACCGCGGCTCTCAGTAATATCCTAATTGCGCAAACAGATTATTATAGCTACATTAACGAACAGGTCTATACTATAGACATCAGCTAGCCATTCGGCCTAACGCCGGGCCGGATTAAGCAATTTGCTATAATATTCCGACTGTAATATACCTTCGTCCTCCGCTCGGTACTTTTCCGAGGTCTTTCAGACTGCGAGAGTTACATTCTGCCAGAGATCTTCCTACTATACCAGCCAAAACAAAAGCCCCGCGTTCTGTCGGGTCGGTCGATACATACGGTCCAATTACTGTCCTAAGCCTTCTTATAACTCTACCCGGAATGGTAACTGTTAATGTGCATTACATGTCAGACTGCTATCTACCTTTCGCAGGTACGCTAGTATATCGAGCATCACACAAGCCATGCTCTGCTGAATGCGGCGGACCGCCAGACTATCCAGTCCCTGGCGGTCCAGTTTTCTCTCGACGTTTGGTACTGTTTTCTGGCTTAAGAGTCTTCCGTCGCTCTCTTCCCGAGGCTACCCCAATGGGAAGCGTTACCCTATCAGTAGCCCAGTTGTCCGGCGCTGCGCCTCTCCCGTCGGGCCTTGCAGATACACATTCGGGCTAAGCATCCATTAACTGATCTGAGTGAGTTTCTGTCTCTGATCGGTACCGCG